TAAACTTGAGAAAAGCATTTGGCCAAATAGGCAAAATTATTACAAAATAATAATCTAATGACAGAGTAAGTAATGTGGCATGACATCACACACATCATATAACAATTATGAGTTTTCAATTGAACGGTAGGCTACCACCAAGAGCATGAGAGTATCCCAACGAGGCGTAATAAATATTTTCACCTTTATTATTCACCAAAAAATAATTAAGGTTTGGGCATTTTAATTATTCTCTCACACTCTCACACTCTCGCTTACACTCATGCACGTGCTCTCACTCACACACAGCCTTTATGAGCTTTTATACCCATCCTTTTGCTCTCTAATCCTTCCTTCATAAGCTATCTCACTCTCTCATAGTTTGTCCCTTTCTCCATTATCCCTTTAACCAAAATAACAATGTACAACAACTTCCTCACATTCTTTCCAAATAATCTACAAACCTGATGCAAAATGGTCAATCACGAGTCCTTATTTTTATCTTCGACTGAGAGGCACCATAAAAACATATCCTCTTCTTCATCCAACAAGCAGCAACATATCACAAACTCGTTCTCTTTTCTCTTTTCCTTTTTCTTTCAGTATTTTATAATAGAAGTAAACCGTCTCAAGTTTTTTTTTTTTCATAATTTTGGAGATCATTTTGGTAATCTCAAATGCTTTATTTTTTTACTCACTCCTAAAACATTTTTTTTCTTAATCTTGGGTTTAAGATTTGATCTTTTAACATATTAGAATACAATAATTAGTTTAGATATACTAGCTAAATGTTCATTTGAAATTGGAGATCTTTTTTAAACATTGATGATACTTGAAATAAACTAATTTAAATCTAAGATCATTTTTTAATCTTTCATAAGTTTTGATCTTTCAAATTGAATATCTTTTTTAATGGACATGAATTATATATATATATATATATATATATATATATATATATATATATATATAACTTCCCATGAAGAAGACATCGAAGTGCATCTTTATGGCATAAGAAAATACTTTAACAAATGTTGTTGGGGATGATGGGTTATTCATCAGCAAAAGAATGATGGTTTAAAATGATAGTGTTATGAAGATCTTCGTAGATTGTTTTAGAGGATGAATTTTAATACAGCTATAAAGAGACCCTACATGAGCACACTTAAATTAACTAGTGTTAGCATCCTATTAAGTTTATGATATGAAAATTTCACCATGTTGTGATTTTACTATTTGTTCATATAATCTTGTTGCTCCTTTATCGAACGAAGATGACTCTCTAAAATTTGGCATACGATTGACCCTCATCTGCAAGCTTATGTTGCCTTTGATTGAAGGATTGACTATCAGCCATTAAAAAAGCGTTTGTAGAATACCGAGGTCAATGAATTTATGACAATGAATTTAGAATTTTGCATCTTAGATTTATACAAAGGTCTGGCATGCACATTGAACAAAAGAAAAAGGAACAAAAAGGCACCCAAATTTTCTCATGGAATCCAGAATGGAAAAAATCATGGCTTAGTCCAAATATAATGACTCATCATGTAAGTAAAATTACAAATTTTGTGCTTCCCATGAATTAAAAAAAATATATGGGATTGCAAAGTGATGCATTCAAAATTAACCTCCTATAACTATAATAGAAGTATAAGTAGTACAGGGGCAATGACAACGATTTGAGCAATGACAACGATTTGAGCAATGACTGTTGAATATGATGATCGTGTGATGATGGTAGAATGATTGAAGTTGGACGATGATGTTTAGATAATGGTGAATGGACTATGATGATTGTGAGCTAATGGTCAGACAATGAAGTTCATGTGATTGTTATTAAATAAAGATATTCAAATAATAACAATGGCTAGGGATGACCGTCAGAGTACTTCAATAAGTTATTTAGAGTTCTTCCATCTTCTATGCGCTTTCAAACTCAAGTTTAGTATTCTTATGTAAAAAATGAAACTTTTTTTTATAATTTTTTAGAGTAAAAATTTAATAAATCCATCTAAAATTTTATAACATTCTATTGGATGGATTATATTTAATTTTTGGGATAAATATATACATACCATCCAAAACATCAGTATTTACAAATTAAGCACTTGAGTTATTTTTTTGAACTACTGAATCGATCAATGTATTTATGCATGTCACGATCAAACTATTGTTAATATGATAAAAATGAAAAAAATTGGGTTGGGGTTTTATATGTGTTTTGATATTATTTGAGTGAGAATTTGAAAAATGGATGAAACAGAGTGGTTGATTTGTAAACAGCAAGTTTCAGTTGGTCTTTATGTAATTGCCCCTTTTCTTAGAGCCTTAATAATTCCAAAATTGAGTCATCTTATATTCGTTGGATTTCTCTCATTGAGATTATTGATATAATTACAGGCGTTTAATTAATTAATGACTTGAGTTTTCAAACCATTAAGTACTTGATGATTTGGGTTAATTTGGACTCGTATTAATTCACTTTTGGTGTCATTAGATTCAACTCATGAAGATATTCAATTAGATTATAAATTTACTAAAATTTGGGGTTAAGGAATTCTTAGTTTTAATTTTGAAAGCTTCTAATTCAAAAATTACATCTAGATTTGTGCTTGATTGGATTATTTTTTAATGAAATATCAAGAAGTAATGTGGATTTGTTGAGATATAAAATAAGAATAAAATGTATTGATCTATCATACTAAAAAAACTATTCACCCAATTCTAACCCATTTAAAACCGCTAATTAGACAATGTTAAGAGAAACATATATATTGAATCTGGCCTCCATCAGACCACAATTCATACACATGTTGTATAGGTGTTCAAATAACACTTATATTGCAAAATTATATAAATGCCTCCAGTCCTTGAAATTAGGATCATAAGCAAAAAAAAAAAAAAAAAAAAAAAAAAGTGATGGAAAAAGGTAAAGACTAAGGTGTGTCAATAAGAGATACTTATTGCTTCGATCAGTACTCTCTTAAAAAAATATAGTTATGTCGATTTTAAGCTTATTTTAATTTTGAAGAGTTTTTAATTTTGCTCGCTTAAGGCTTAATAACACTTCTAAATATTCAAAATCATGGCTCAATATTATTAAGGCCGGATGACTGAGTGAATCGAAGTACTTCTTTACAACTATTGATTCAAAGAACATCATAAGTTGTTCAAGAGGAGAATGATAGAATACTAAATGATATGTTATGATATTCATTAGTTTTAGTATTAGATAAATAATCATACTTAGTTAATAATGATTGATAGTTATATGTTCTATAAATAACTTCTATCGGAAACATTGAGAGATGAAATATAAAAAGCAAGTGTTTTTTTTTTTTTCTTTTGTTTTTGTAGTCGTCAGCAATCTCGAATCGCTGTTTGCTTTTGGAGTTGACGACATCCCCGAATTGTCGATTATCAATATTAAAGAACCGGGTTCATATCAGAGGATCATGTGCCTGCAAGATGATAACCCATCATCTTTCGAGAATCGATGGTTTCTAAAACAAACACAATGTTGATTTTATCGACATTCAATGATGATTTTCTTAATTTATCGTTTGTAATACTTTCTCCTTAAAATTGAATGAATATATTTTTCATTTACAATTATTGTATTACATTAACGTTTCAAATTAACAATGAAGTCTTAAATCATTGTCTTAGAGTCCAAGAAGTATACCATTTAAATCAAGGCTCTTCGTTATGAGAAAATATTACATCAGGAGTCTTGATGTAGTTTCATATGCGGATGGTAGTATTTATGTGTTATTGGTAGTAATGTGATGCTATTTTAGCAAAATAACAACACAATACTACTAATAATGAAAGAAAATATTACATCTGGAGTTCTGATGTAGGTCATTCGGATGTAATATTTTTTTCCATCGTTAGGTTGCAAAATAGCGATGATGAATTTATCTAAGGTGGTAGACTTAACGGTATTTATTTCCCTTTTCCTTATTATTTTTTAATAATAAATAATGATGATTTTTTAAAAAGAAAATTGATTTTTTAATCTTATCATTTCTCATTTTTACATTCAATGAGATCATTTTGATTAAGGGTCTGTTGGGGGCAGCTGTAGCTTATTGAATAATCTGTTGATAAGCTGATTAAAAATAATCTGTTGATAAGCTAGATGCGATGACTATTACAATTTTTTTTTTTTTTTTTTTGAAAAAGCCAGTGCCATTAAGCTCCCATCGCACCTAAATAGGCGCGGTGTGAAAATATTATTTTCTACGTTTTGAAAATGCATAAGCTGCCAAAACACAGTCTACCCAAACAGACCAGATACGTTTTCAAAACTCCACCGCACCAAATAAGCTGCCCCAAACGGGCCCTAAGTCCGCACCTATTCAGGAAAAATAAACTAAATATTGTGATATATTTATCGGAGTTCTGAATCTACTTATTGTCTAACATCATGAGACTGTTGAAAAATAATTTCAAATTATTATCAGACATGCAATAATAAGTTTATATTTAAAAATATTAATAATGATACACTTACAATAACCAATAACTATAAATTGAGAGGACGGTGAATAGTAATTAAATTAAAACTCATCACATTTATATGAAACAAAAACTAAAAAACCATATCATATAAAAATAATCATTCAATTAAACACTATAAAATCATATATACAATTTACCCTTACATATAAAAACAAACCAAAAAAAATCATAAAAATAATTTTATAAAAATATTGCCTTTTTTTCTTTAACTCGTTTTTTTTTTACTAGCACATAAATAAAATAAAATAAAATAAAAGTCATTTTTTTCCCTTCACACCATATACAGATCTCTTCGCCTTAACATCCTCCTCCAACCTATCTCCTCTTCCTAGATCTCCACATATCTTGGTGATGTAATAATATTCACCCCCTCCCTTCTCCTCTCATCTTCTCCCACTTCTCCTCACATGCTTTCCC